AAATGGAAGTGCATACATGCACATGTTTTCATCCACCCAACCAGTCTATGTCTTTTGGTTGGTGCGTTTAATCCATTTACATTTAAGATAATTATCTATATGTATGATCCTATTACCATTTTCTTAATTGTTTGGGGTTTATTTTCTGTAGGTCTTTCCCTTCTCTTATGTTTCTTGCCTAGAGAAGTTCCTTTGGCATTTGTTGTAAAACTGGTTTGGTGGTGCTGAACTCTCTTAACTTTTGCTTGTCTGGAAAGCTTTTGATTTCTCCTTCAAATCTGAAGGAGAGTCTTGCTGGGTAGAGCATTCTTAGTTATAGGTTCTTCCCCTTCGTCACTTTAAATATGTCGTGCCCATTCCCTTCTGGCTTGCAGAGTTTCTCCCGAGAAATCAGCTGATGGCCTGATGGGAGTTCCCTTGTATGTTATTTGTTGTTTTTCTCTTGTTGCTTTTAATATTTTATCTCTGCCTTTAATTTTGTCAGTTTGATTACTATGTGTCTTGGTGTGTTCCTCCTTGGGTTTATTCTGCCTGGGACTCTCTGTACTTCCTGACTTGGTTGGCTATTTCCTTTCCCACGTTCAGGAATTTTTCAGCTATTATCTCTTCCAATATTTTCTCATGTCCTTTCTCTCTCTCTCCTTCTTCTGGGACCCCTATAGTGCGAATGTTGATGCATTTAATGGTGTCCCAGAGGCCTCTTAGACTGTCTTCCTTTCATTCTTTTTTCTATATTCTGTTCTGTGGCTGTGTTCTGTCCTCCAGGTCATTTATCGTTTCTTCTGCCTCAGTTATTCTGCTATTGATTCCTTCTAGTGTATTATTCATCTCTGTTTGTTAGTTCTTTAGTTCTTGTAGGTCTTAGGTAAACATTTCTTATATCTTCTCAATCTTTGCCTCTCTTCTTTTCCCGAGATCCTGCATCATCTTCACTATCATTTTCCCGAATTTTTTTCTGGAAGGTTGCCTATCTCCAGTTTACTTAGTTGTTTTTCGGGGTTTTATCTTGTCCTTTCATCTGGGACATAACTTTCTGCTTTTTCATCGTGATTAACTTTCTGTTCTATGGGTTTTGTTTTAGCTGCTGTGGGACTGTGTTTCTTCTTGCTTCTTCTGTCTGCCCTCTGATGGATGAGGCTACGAGGCTTGTGTAAGCTTCTGGATGGGAGGAACTGGGAAAAACTAAGTCTTGCTCAGTAAAGCTTTAATCCAATTATCTGATGATGGGTGGGGTTGCACTCCCTCCCTGGTAGTTGTTTGGCCTGAGGCGACCCAGCCCTGGGGTCTAAGGGCTCTATGGTATGGTTAGTGGCAAACTCCAAGAGGGTTTATGCCAACGGGGACCGTCCAGTGCCCCCTGACCCAGTGGTACGCCCCTGCTAGCCCACGCCCTCACAGGAGGCCCTCTAGTTCTAGCAGGGATTTTGGTCCAGTCCCCTATGGGGTCGCTGCTCCTTTCCTCTGGGTCTTGGTGCACGCAGTTTTGTTCGTGCCCTCCAAGACTGGAGTCTCTATTTCCCCCAGTCCTTTGGAAGTCCTATAATCAAATCCTGCTGACCCTCAAGGCCAGGTTCCCTGGGGATTCCCAGTCGCTATGTTGGATCCCCAGGCTGGGAAGCCTGATATGGCGTTTAGAATCTTCACAACAGTGTGAGAACTTCTTTGGTATTATTCTTCTCCAGTCTGTGGGTCACCCACCTGGGGGGTATGGGATTTGATTTCATTGTGATTGCACCCCTCCTACCATCTTGCTGTGGCTTCGTCGTCTTTGGATGTGGGGTATCTTTTATTGGTGGATTCTGGCATCCTGCTATCAATGGTTGTTCAACAGCTAGTTGCAGTTTTGGTGCTTACGCAGGAGGAGATGCGCACACGTCCTTCTATGCCACCATCTTGAAACGGAAGTCAGGTCCATGATTTTAATTCTGTCCTGCACTGTGGCTTTGCTTGGCATAATAAGGTTTGGAGAAGAAACTAAATTCCTAATGACTCAGTTATAGTCTTACTACTATCTGTAACTTTGACCCTGATGCTGGGAAAGATCGAGGGCAGGAGGAGAAGGAGGCAATAGAGGATAAGATGGTTGGATGGCATCACTCAATGGACATGAGTTTGAGCAAACTCCAGGAGATACTGAAGGACAGGGAAGCCTGGAGTGCTGCAGTCCATGGGGTCACAAAGAGTTGGATATGACTTAGCAACTGAATAACAATCTGTAACTTCTGTAATTTGACAAAAAAGTCAGATATTCTTTTGGGGAGAAACTTGTAATTTAACTAATACTTATTGACTTTTAAAAGAGCACATCCTGCAGGTGGGGTGTTTTTAAAAAATGTTCTCTACCATTTGTATCCAGAATACAGTGGGTATAAACAAGCCTCTATACTTGACATCACTGGAGCCAGTGTAACAGTGTAGTAGAGGTGTGGTTCTTTGGACCCACATCAGAATCCCAAGGGGTGCTTGCTTGGTGAAAGTATTGACGCTTAGGCCATGTCCTGCACTCAGTTGAGAATCTCTCAGGGTAGGCTCTGGGAATCTACATTTTAAATAATTTAATAAGCACCCCAAGTGATTTGAATGCACTGTAAAGTTTGAGGATCTCCATTTTATATGTGTGTGTGTATATACATATACACACGTATTTTAAATACACATATTTTAAACAGCTTTGAGATATAATTTCCATACAACAAACTGTTCACCCATTTCATGTGTGTGATTAAATGGTTTTTGATATATTCAGGTGTGTGCAATTATCACCACCATTTTTAGAACATTTTTTATCACCTGAGAAAGAAACGGCATACCCTTTATCTACCATGCCCCATCCCCCTGTCCCCAAGCAACTACTGATCTCCGTTCTGTGTCTACAGTTTTCCCTATTCTGGACTTTGATAAGACTGGGATCATATAGCATACCACTTTCTGTCACTGGTTCTTCCGCTTGGCAGAGTGTTTTCAAGGTCCATCCACACCGTAGTATGTATTAGTACCTCATTCCTTTTTATGGCTGGTATTTTATTGTGCAGATATGCCACATCTTGTTTATCCATCCACTGATGCACATTTGGGTTATTTCCATCTCTTGACTGTTATGAATAATGCTGCTATAAATATTCATTACAAGTTTCTGTTTAAACATAGGTCTTCGTGTCTCTTCAGTATGGATCTAGCAGGACAATTGCTTGGGTCATTTGGTATTCTAGGTTTAACTTTTTGAAAAACTGCCAGAGAGTTTTTATTCCCCATAGTGACGTTTCCTCCACATCCTCCCCAGTGCTGGCTGTTATCTGGCTTTTTGATTCTGGACACCGTGATAGGTATCTCATTTTGTCTTTTAATTTGCATTTCACTGATGACTACAGATGTCAAGCATTTTTTTAATGTATTTATTTGGCCATTTGTATAACTTCCTTGGAAAAATGGCTGTTTAGATCCTTTGCCCACTTAAACATTTTTTTTAACTGTAGGATAATTGCTTTACAGTATTGGGTTGGTTCCTACTATTCATCAACATGAATGAGCCATAAGTATACATATGTCCCCTCTCTCTTGAACCTCCCTCCCATCTCCCTCCCTTCTAGGTTGTCACAGAGCACCTGATTTGAGCTCGCTGCATCGAGTTGACTTTTTCCTATTGAGTTGTAGTTTTACTATTGAATTGTAAGAGTTCTTATATATTTTAGATACTCCTGTAAGATACATGACTTGCAAATATTTTCTCTCTGTGTGGCTGTCTTTTCACATTTTTGATGGTATCTTTTAAAGCAAAAACACTTACTTTTGATGAAATCCAGATTATGTTTTTTGGTTTGTTGCTTGTTTTTGGTGACATATCTAAAAATTCTTTGCCAGGTCATGAAGATTTGCCTCTATATTTTCTTCTTAGAGTTTTATAGTTTTTACTCCTATGTTTAGGTCTCTGATACATTTTGAGTTACTTTTTGTATGCGTGTGCCCTGTAAGGGTTCAACTTCATTCTATGTATAGATATTCTTGAACTGCTACAAACAGTAAAGTTGAAGGTGTTCCACCTTGTATAAGTTCTGCTTTGCTTCCTGTGTTTGGCTAGATTAGCCTTAGAAAAGCAGAAATTCACATATAGATACCCATCCTATGATAACCTTTTTTCAAACTCTGTTGGTTAACTTTTAAATGGACCACAGTGATATGGACAAAGATGCCAGACAAAGGCCAGGTTGAATCCACAGATGTGGAGGCCGTGTCAACTGAGGGCTGACTGTACTGTATCATTTTATAAAAGGGACCTCAGCATCCTTGGATTTGGGTATCTGTGTGGGGTCCTAGAACCAGCGCCCTGTGGGTAACTGTGATTTTCTTAAGCAGTAAACTCAGCTTGGGGACAGAAACAGGAGAGGCAGAGTGTATAAACTGGCTAAGAAACTCTTAAAATTTCATCATTTCATTATTTTAATTCATTGCTATGAATGCCCACATGATTATACAGGTTTAGATCTTATTTGGGACTGTCTAGTTTGGCTGATTGGGGTATTGTCTAGTTTTTCTGTGAGGGATTAAAACAGTGATAATTCATTGCTGTGGGGCTTCCCTGGTGGCTTAGGCTATAAAGAATCTGCCTGCGATGCAGGAGACCCAGGTTCGACGCTGGGTCGGGAAGATCCCACGGAGAAGGAAATGGCATCCCACTCTAATATTCTTGCCTGGGGAATCCCATGGACAGAGGAGCCTGGTGGGCTACAGTCCATGGGGTCACAAAGAGTCAGACATGACCGAGTGACTAACACAACCACAATTCACTGCTTCAGGCAGAACTCTGCTCGTCCATACCGATAAGAGAAAAGGTTAATCCTCTTCAATATCAAAGCAACTGAAGTGAACACTCCAGCTGAACAGGTGCCTGCACTCAGCTGAAAACAGCATCTTTAGTCTCCTGCAAGAAAGGGATGTTATTTATCTTTGCCTTGTGCGAGGCACAGTGACTGAAAGTACACTGAACAATTAAACTGTCCCTCCAGACAAACCCTGGAATGGTCCCCAGCCATGGATTTGGCCCCAGATCTTACTTCTTTGACAACCCTCGAAGGTATGACAGCGATGATGACCTTGCCTGGAACACTGCCCCCCAGGGTCTTCAGGGAAGGTAAGACCCTACCTAGTTCCTACTGGGGGGCGGAGGGCCCAGCCAATGAGATAGATTCAAACTAAACGGGGGCGGGGGGCGGGGGGTGACGCAGGAGGCCTGCTTAAAACCCTGGAGCTGGGAGGTGAGGTGGACAGAAAAAGGAGGGGGAAACACCTGAGTGGTGAGACTAACCGCAGCCAGTCGAGACCCTCCCTCCAGCGACCATGCGCTTTACCGTCTGCCAAGGTCATGGTTGTGGTCACGGTCTGCAAACAGGAGGTGGGGTAGCTCCTGGGTTCTCTTCTCTGCCCCCTGCTCTCCCTCCTGCTCCCCCTGCCCCAGCCCAGGGACGTTTCAGCCACATTCCACGGCCCAGTGCTCCGTCCCCTCTTTCACTCTGGGGCTTTAAGGCCAGCAGGGGAGAGAGGAGCAGAAAGCGTTGACTTCATGCTTGCCAAGCTCCTCTCTCCTTCCAGAAGCACTCCGCTGGCTGTTTCTATGAAAGGACAGCTTCAGGCCGAGTGGGGTTTTTTGCAGTGAAAGCCAGTCTAATGTAATCCTTTGTGAATTTAAAGACCTGTCATTAACATTTTAAGGTAAATTCTTTTCCTCCTGGGGTAAAATGATAGAGAGAGGATACGCTTGCTTTTCTGCTCTTTATTACCAATAGTAAAATCCTTGGAAAACCTCATAAGAAGTCTGAAAGGAGCCCTTATAGGCACAGGAGAATTCAGGAAAAGCTGGGAGAACACCTTGCTCTCTCAGTGGATCAGGGAGTGCAGACATCCTGGTCAGATAGAGGAAAAGGTATTAGGGAAAAAGAGCAGAACCATCCATCTGGTCAGAAGGTCTAAAGAACACAGATAAGGAAGGGAGAACTAGAAGGACTTCCTGAAGTCAAAGGTGTCCTGAGTCTCCTCCCTAAAACTGTCCTCTTATCCAGTCACCCCCTTGCAGTGCCGGCTCCCTATTTATGTCCCCCTGTATCTGCTGGAGCAGCCCTAACCCCTCACCTGCCAGACCTTTCCATTACATAGAGGAAAACAGTAATAGAACACCAATAATTCAATGTGCATGATTGAGTGGTGACTGTATATTACGATACTGTATGTTCTAAAAGTTTCACAGTTCTAAAAGTTTAACTCACAAAAGCCCAACAAATTAGTTCCTAATATTACTCCCATCCTAACAGATATTAACATCGAGGCACAAAAGTTATTTGTCCAAAAACACACTGGTAGTGAGTTAGACTCTTCATTAGGAGTCAGATACAATTTGTGGCTAAAGCATTGTGATACACATAGTGATTGGTATTACTGTGTATATCAGTAACACTACTCTTCCAGGCCCTGAAGAGTTGAGGTGACTTTTGTGGGAGGTATTCTAGCCACTGTGCAAAGCTAGCACTGTGGTGTGGGAAAACTCACTTCAAGAAACTACCTTGAAAAGCTTTAGGATTATCTGTACAGAAGCCCACTTCTGTCAACCTAAAATAGGCATGTCATCAACAGTCAGCATAATGTTTCAAGTCATTGAAGTCTCTCTTTTCCTTTTCAAGTTTTGCTCCAGACTACTACGACTGGGGACAACAAACAGCGAACAGCTTCCTGGCACAAGTAGGAACTTTACAACCAGACTCAATTCTGGATCCTGACAAACCAAGCCATGGGTAGCGTCAGTTAACAGTTTTATGGAAGATATGCCTCAGTTGAAATGTTTCAGAAGGACTAACTTAATGACAGCTGAATTTTTAGGGCATGATTCCTTAAGAAATAGGACTTGAATTTGTTGCAGGTTTCTGATGGCTCCATAGGACTAAGCAATAATTTAGATTGATAAAATCTTATTTTAGTACTAAAAAGTGAGCCTGGTTGCCTATTCCGTGAGTATAATTTAAACTTTAAAAAATTCTGTACTTTTATAAAGATGTATTTTATATAACTTAATGCTAAAATATTCTAGGATTTTTTGAGAATATTATTGCAATATATGTCATAGTTTGCACAGACTTTTATGCATAATTCACTTTAAAAGTATACAGTATATAGTCTGATGGTTTTTTTTTTTTTTAAAGGCTTTTGGACTAAAGTATTCCTCAGACCCTTACCTCGTCAGGTCACTAAGATTCTGTTAGAGTCTAAGTATAGTTGACATCTAGGAAGCCAATTGCAACTCAAGTGTTGAAATTTATAATGCAGCATAATGTCAGCAGACTACAGTAGGTAGTTGGTTCCTTACAGTGTTGTAAAGCACAGATGGTTGGTTCCTCAAAGAATCTCCTAAATTTTGCCGAAATTTAATCCTCCTTTCAACAGGGTGCTGATGTACACACTTCAGTGATAAGTTGATAACGTTAAAAACATGGATAGAATTGACTTACACTATTAAACCTCCTCATCTGTATTCAAAGATTTTTGCATAGTTTGTCAGCCCAGTGAATCTAATAGCCATTACCTCGAAACTTCAGTAAGACTGCACCTTTTCCACCTTACTGAACATTTGTGACTGAACAAAGAAGTTCTTAAGAGGGGATGAATAACAGATATCCCTGCATCTTTGAGCCAGAAGGTCTATGTGGAATTCTAAGAGTTTTATTTTAGTTTCCAACCATATTAAAATTATACCCTTTCTTTTTAAGTAGCTCTGCAAGCAGCCTACTGGAAGCTGCATGTTTAAAAAGGTATTAATGGTAGCATTGCAATATTCTATAGCATGAAGCCTGCCTCTTAAGTCATGGAAAAGGGCATGTTCCAGACAGCTACTTGTAAGTTGTCTTTCATCTAAGTGAAGCACAGGTCATAAAAATAGTTCCCCAACCATAAGTGCCATTCTAAAGATCTCCAAGACGATATATATATATATGACCTGCAGGTATAAAACTGCCTATAATAAAAGGCTGTGTCAGGGGGGTTAAGGTACTGAGGAAGTATCTTTACCAAAGAGAAAGTACCATATTTTGGGACAGAGGGAGGGGCAGGTGAAAAGGAGCTTAGTTAAGTTCCGTCCTCATGGAGAAACCCATTTCTGATATCTTACTTCCCAGTTTGACCTTCAGAAATAACTTACCTCTGGGCATTGACTTCATAGGGATCAAGTCTGTTTCTCTTACCCTGATGGTATTTAAAATCAGAATTTTGAGTTTTCAGTGGGTCACAATAGGGTTTTTCTTGTGTATGGGATACCTTCACCCTGCATAATCACACAACAAATTCTTTGCTTTCCAATATGTGGAAGAATTTGGGTTACATATTTAAAATAATTACTGCCAGGGAAAACTCTACAGTGAAGCAAAATTTGCACTGATAATTCAGGTTTCCTTAAAATATTATAAGCTGTTATTCTAAATAGCTTTAAGAACACCCTACTTCTCATACTATTTTTGTTAATGATACTTAGAATTCAAACGCAGACTCAGAAAATGCTTAAAAATCCTCTAAGTCATGCTTTCAGGAGGTACTGCAGTTCTTCAGTATTAGGTCATTGAAGGGTAGATATATTTTTTAAAACATTACTAAAATCATACAAGTCCTATATTCATCCTATGACATACAAATATTTTATTATTCTGTTGTTATTGGTGGGAAGATTGAAATACTCAGCATTAACTGATAAGTCTGTTTTTATGATTAAGCTGCTAGTATTATTTGAACTATTATTTTTATTGGAAAAGATAAAAATGTCCTAAGTGCCTATTTTTCTCTTCCCTTTCAAAAGTAATGCTAAAGTACAACTGTAAACACATCTAGAATATAAAAAACTGTGATTGTAACAAACTCTCTCTCATAGTAAATGATCACTTTTACTCTGAAATGTTGCACATATAGTATGGAAAGGAAAATTAAGTTTCCCTTAAGTTTCTTTTTACTTGTGCTGCCAAGTACACTAACAGCCCTACTCCTAGGTGAAATACTAAAGGTCACCAGAAGACAAGAAATAGAGATTATTGGTTCTAAAATACCCAAACATCCTCTTGTTTTAAGGCAACATGATGAAATTACCCCCTCCCCACCCATAATGTAAAAGTTTTAAGAATGGGGTAGAGGCCATATCACCAAAAATTTTGTACCATCATTTAGCTAATTCTGATTCAACACTAAAAGGCTGCATATGAATATTCTTGTGCATCCACTGGAAATATACACAATAGGATTAATTATGGAGTTAACTGTCTAAAGAATGCCAACTGGATTGTGTATAGGCAGACCTTGGAGATTGCAGGTGTGGTTCCAAACCACTGCAGTAAAGGAAAATACTGCAAAAAAATGAATCACAAATTTGGTTTCCCAGTGCATAAAAAATTAGGGATTTTCCCTGGATGTCCAGTGGTTAGAGCTTTGCCACTGCATGCGGTGAGGATTCATTCCCTGGTCAGGGAGATAAGACTCCACATGCTGAGTAGCCAAAAAACCAAAACATGAAAAACTGAAGCGATATTGTAACAAATTCAATAAATAACAATGGTCTATATTTTTTTAAAAGTTACGTTTATACTTTTAAGTGCACAGTAACATTATATAAAAAAACAATGCACATACCTTAATTAAAAAATATTTTACTGCTAAAAAATGTTAACCATGATCTTAATCTTCAACAAGATATAGTAACAAAGATCACTGATCACATGTTACAATGACAATAATAATGAAAAATATTTGAAATATTGTGAGAATTACCAAAGTGTGACAGACACCAATGCTGTTGGAAAAATGGCATAGGAAGACTTGAGCCACATAGGGTTGCCTCAGACGTTCAATTTGTAGAAAATGCAGTATCTGCAGTGCAGTAACATGAAGCACAGTAAAATGAGGTCTGCCTGTAGATATCTTTCATTGGCTTTTTTCCCTTTCTACAGTGAACCCATTTAATTGAGCTGATGATTAAAACATCGTGTGTTCACACACAACTGTGAACTCTAAGAAGTTTTGATTCTGACAGTATACACACATCAGTCACATTTAGCTGTGCCAGTTCTTTCTTGAATATGTTAGGCAGTGTTAATAACTATGCTGGCTATTGTGTTTAGCTGCTTACATCAGTCACACTTGCTAATGTATCCCCAAATTTTCTCTCTACCAAAATCCAAATGAACTGCTCTTTGTTGGCCTTGAACAATTAACCCCTGTTTAAGAGGAAAAGAGTAAGAATTAGGAAATCCTAGTGCGTGAGAAGTACTCTGAGAAAAAGGTTCTCATTTACATTTACATAGTTAAGTATTACAAAAATATTGCTTTTACTTTTTGACAATAAAGATGAACTTGTATTAGAACTAAATGGGTCTAAATATTTGAAGCTGTCAAGATTTCCAAGAAACTTTTTTTTTTAATTTGCTTTGCTTTCGATTATTGCATGATAAAATATAGACTAGCATAAGGCTGATCAAAGACACATCTATCTAATATGTATTTCTAATTTCTATCCCATATAGGTGAGAATTTTGTTAACTAAAAGCATTGTTAACTGTGCCTAATATCACTTAAGACTTTTCATAGTACAGATGGAGGAGCTTTTGGAAACGATCAAGCTAAATAGTGGAATTCTCAAGACCACAAACAAACTGATTAAAGCGAGGAAACATTTGACATATTTTTAAGGGACAATGAGGGTAAGGAAGTGGAATTAGCACTATGTGCTAAACCCTGGGCTTGGTGTCCATGGGCCCAGTCAGCACAGTCCTCACATTAACCCTGCGCTTGCCCTGAGCAGGCGCGCATGAAGAGCCCTGCATCAAAGGGCCAAGACACCTTAACATTAGGCAATGTCGCTCACGTGCCCCCAGCCTAGGTAACTGTGCATTCCCCATTCCTGTCTCCCAGGTCCTCTGGGCCTGGGCATTTATGTGGGCTCATTCCCAGCGGGGTTCTGAGACTGAAGCCCTACTTGATGACCTGGCAGCCAGACTCCCTAGTTGCAAGCCCATTGACTCAAGAGCTCCTAATGGTATCTGCCTGGTTTCTCTGAAGCTGGGTTCCTTCCCTCCGTCCCTTGACCTGTGGCTGGATCTCCCCTCTGTTTTCCTTGCCAGCGTTCCTTCTTTATCCTCCAATTCTGATACGTTCTTTTGACAGGTCAGAGGCTGCCCTGCCATGCAGAATATTAGACTCTTCCATCTGTAGAACAGATTCTCTCTCTGAACTTTAAAAGCTCTCTCCAAACTTCAGATGAGCGGCCTGATCTTTTCAGCTAGATCTGTGACCTGTTTCTTTTTAGCCTGTATGACCTCCAAAATCTGCCTCTTTTTCCACTGATCCTGTCACTCTGACCCTTCTTCACTCTGACCCTCTATTTCCCATGAACCTTGCTAAGCTACAACAGTCCGTCCTGTCTCTTTGCAGTCATAAGTACCCTTGAAAGGATTAATTGAAGTATAAATGGGGTACATTTAGCATAAACAGGTGCTGCTTTATTTACCAGCACCTTTCAGTTTATGCCACTATATATCCCTTGGTGCATTCACTAGCCCAGAGTCTGGGCTTCAGGCCTGCAGACTGAAAACCTGTCAAAAAGAACAGAACACTTAACCATTTGGAGATATGGTCTGTGAAGGAAATCAGCACGGAACACTTAAATATCAGAATGATGCGTGGTGAATGCTGACTCTGCCCTGGCCAAGGGGTGGTGGGTAGATTGTTTTAATGGATTTTAATCAATCTGTGACAAATTGATGGCACTTTCAAGCAGACACTAAGATTCAGTCACACAGTTGTTCAGTTGCTCAATCTGTCCAACTCTTTGCGACCCCGTGGACTGCAGCACACCAGGCTTCCCTGTCCTTCACTATCTCCTGGATTTTGCTCAGATTCATGTCCACTGAGTCAGTAATGCCATCCAACCATCTCATCCTCTGGAGCCCCCTTCTCCTCCTGCCCTCCAGCATCAAGGTCTTTTCTAATGGGTCTGCTCTTTGCATCAGGTGGCCAAAGTATTGGAACTTCAGTTTCAGTATCAGTCCTTCCAGTGAATATTCAAGGGTGATTTCCTTTAGGATCAACTGGTTTGATCTCCTTGCTGTCCAAGGAGTTCTCCATAGTCTTCTCTAGCACAATTAGAAAGCATCAATTCTTCAGCACTCAGCCATCTTTATGGTCCAAGTCTCACATCCATATATGACTACTGGAAGAGCCACAGCTTTGTCTATACAAACCTTTGTCAGCACAGTGATGTCTCTGCTTTTTAATATGCTGTTTGTCATAGCTTTTCTTCCCAGGAGCCAGTGTCTTTTAATTTCATGGCTGCAGTCACTGTCCGCAGTGATTTGGGCATGGAGGGTACCTTCTCCACTAGACAAGTTTCTATGTTACCTATTCCTCTTCTATTAAAATACAGTTGATTACTGAACATTACGAAGGTTAGTGGGGGCTGAGCCCCACGCAGTCAAATCCATGTGTAACTTTATAATCAGCTCTCTGTATCTGTAGTTCCAAATCTGTAGATTCAGCCAACCACATATTAGGTAGTGCTGTAGCCCCTATGTATATATTGAAGGAAACCCACCTGTTTCCAAGTGGACTCATGCAGTTCCAACCCATGTTGTTCAAGGGTCAACTGTATTCTTTCTCTGGGTGTATTCTTATTATAAACTAGATATAACCCAGTGAGGTTATGGTATTCTTAAGTTACCTGAAGGCAGGGGTATTTGTTTTGTTCACTGCTATGTGTCCGGCTCCTAGAAGAATGAGCGAATACTCAGATCCTATTATTCTGACAAGTTATTGGGGTTTTTTTAAGGTGACTTCTTACACTTGCATTTTTATCCACTGCATATAGATTTTATAAGTTTAATACTCATTTAAGGGCCCCTCCCTGTTTTTTCATGAATCTTTGACAGATATCTAACTTTTGCACAAAGAATCCATAACGGAATAAAAAAGCAAGTAAGGACTGTATACAAAGATCATTCTGAAATCATTCTTAGAAGCTGAATCTCAACTGCATGTTCTGTCTCTTTGTCCTTACCTGTTTGGGCACTGACAAATAGAATACAGATGTGATTAACACAGCAGATAGTAAAAAGTAGATTTTTTATCAAGTGAAGTATAAAAAGGACAGTGACATATTGTGGTTAAAAGTGCAACCCTCCAAACACTTGAGGTGGGCAGAGTTTTAGCATCATTCATATGTTAAAGGATTTTTTTTTCTTTGAAGCTTTAATGGAATAAGAACAGGTTTAAAAAATTATTTTAAAGGGGTGTGGGGGTAGACGGGGATGAATGCAATAGCTATTAAAACCTAAGCCCTAAGTAATTAAAACAGTGTGGAACAGGTATAGGAATAACAGACCAATGGAATAGAGAACCTAGAATTTTAGATATGATTACACATAGCATCACAAATTAGTGAGGAAAAGATGAATGGTAGTGGCATAACTGGGTAATCATCTGGGAGAAAAATAGGCTGGATACTTAATTTGCACTTTATACCAGGATACACTCCAAGGAATCAAAATTTAGATCTAAAAAAATAAAACCATGAGTGTTCTAGAAGAACATATAGATGAACTATTGCTGTGAACAAGGCATTCTTAACTATCAAAGTCCAGAAGTCACTAAAAAAAATCAGTAAGTTAGACTGCATAAAAATTTTAAAAAATTCCATGACAAAACCACCATAAGCAAAGTCAGAAGATAGACAAAAAACTGGGGGGAAAAAAGTGTACAGCTTATTGTAGACAGAGGATTAACAGGGGTGGGCATGCTCAGTAGTGTTCAACTCTTTGCGACCCCATGGACTGTAGCCCACCAGACTCCTCTGTCCATGAGATTTCCCAGGAAAGAATACTGAAATGGGTTGCCATTTCCTTCTCCAGGGAATGGAGATTAACCCTGACCCAGGGATTAAATTCACATCTCCTTGCATTGGCAGGTGGATTCTTTACCACCGAGCCACTTGGGAAGCCCCCAGAGGATTAATATCCCTGACAAATAAAACACTTCTAGAAATTGATAAGATCAATAGTGCAGTAGAAAAATGGGAAAAGATACAAACACAAAAGGAAATTATACAGATAAACAATAAACCTTAAACAAATGAAAGGTAGTAAGCCTTACCTGTGATAAGGAAAAAACTAAAACACACTCATATATAATTTTGCATCTCATCAGGATAGCAAAAATCCAACATTTTAATAATACTCATGTTGGTCAGGTTGTACACAAGCAGGCATTATTTTAAATTGCACGAGTGTCATCTGGTAACCATCTCCTGTGGAGGGCATATACTAATATCTTTCACAATTATAAATGCATATGGTCTGTGACCTAAACATTCCATTTGCAAGAATTTAGACCACAAGTACATATTTACATATGTGTAAAATGACATATATAGAATGTCTGGAAACAATCTAAATACCCATTAATAGAAGACTGGCTAACTAAACAATTGTACATTCATATGTGAAGTGTGAAGTGTGAAAGTCACTCAGTCGTGTCCAGCTCTTTGGGACCCCATGGACCATATAGTCCATGGAATTCTCCAGGCCAGAATACTGGAGTGGGTAGCCTTTCCCTTCTCCATGGGAGCTTCCCAACCCAGGGATTGAAGCCAGGTCTCGCGCATGGGAGGTGGATTCTTTACCAGCTGAGCCACAAGGGAAGCCCAAGAATACTGGGGTGGGTAGCCTATCCCTTCTCCAGGGGAGCTTCCCAACCCAGGAATCCAACTGGGTCTCCTGCACTGCAGGTGGATTCTTTACCAACTGAGCTATGAGGGAAGCCCTGTACATTCATACAGCAGTTACCTTAAAAAAAGAAGAGTGATTAAGTTATCTATTGACATGGGAAGACTGCCAAGAAAAACTAAGTGAAAAAAAGCAAACAGTATGTATATACCACCACTCTTTGGGTAAAAGTGAGGGAAAAAATGAGACTTTCCATTTGTGTTTGTTTGTATATGCCTTAAAAATGTATAGATGGAAATATAAGAAACCAAGAACAGAGGTTACTTGTGGTAAGGGCGGGGGAAGGCTGTGCAGTATGGAAAGTCGGGCCAAAGACAGAAAGAAGACATTCCACTGTATAGCTTTTTATATTTTTTGGGTTTTGAACTATGTGAATGTATTAGTTATTCAAAAAAATTAAATAAAATATATTTTAAAAGCTTTATGAGATTCAGTACAAGTCAAAAGATACTAAAATCTCCCTAAGTTTTAGTTGATTGGTAATAAGCCAGTTTCTAAAATAACACAAATATACCACATTCTGAGCAGAGGCACCAGAGTAAGACTTTGTAGTTTCAAGTTTTAGTCCCACAACCTGGAATGTGACTGTGGACAAATTACTTAGCCTCTCTTCTCCTTGGTTTTCTGATTTAAAAACAGAGAAGTAATTGTACCTACCTGCTAGGGCTCCTGAGAAGATAAAAAACCCATGCAAAGCCCTTCAACAGTGGCTGCCAATGCTTGCAATTACGATTTTAAAAAGGAAACAACCACAGCCTACTTATTTTCTCCCTTCTCTACCAATTATAACCAAATTTTCATCTCATAAAAGGAAACATTTAAAAGGGGTTTAAAAAAAACAGGATAAGAAGATTGCAGAAACAGTTACTTTAATTCACATTTTCTATAATCTTGTGGGTACAACAGCAAATCATTTGGAATTCTGTTCGAAATCAAAGCTGCACCTGTAGATGTTACTTCAAATAGAATACACATAAACCTGGTATGTGTCTGTGTTGTTTTTGTTTTACCAAATAATTTCCATGATACCATGCACCCAGTCTGTGTATTTTGGTGAATAGCTATGGTTTCTGCAGGTACTTCAGTTTGCAAAACTGCTAGGAGGTTTACTGTGAACTGTTCCCAAATTTCCAGATGAAGGCAATGCTGATGGAGATCAAAATAGCTGTCCTTGCTTATATACATTGGCACCTAGGTAAAGTTGGAGAATATGGCACAGTGTTTCATAGACATACAGAGATTACAAGTATTGAACAATTCACAACGTTAAAGTGTCAAAACATATAACTTATCAAATTTCAAAACTGTAAAAAACCATTCTAATATTCTGTCCGATCCTCCTCATAATCTAAGAATCAACACAAGAGAAACATTTATCAGTTTTAATACAGAGTATTTCTAATTTACACAGATGTCACTTAAGGGAAAAAAAAACTCACGCTATTGAAGGAAGGAATATGTTCCTTCTCTTCATTTTCATTACTTTATCAGCTGGTACAATCATTTCTGTCTAGTTATATTATCAAGTGCTGGATTTTTAAATCAGGTGATGAGATAAAGACAAAATGCCAAGAGGTATTGCCAGCCAAGCATTGTCACAATGCAGTCAGTACTCTAATATCACTTCACAATAAAAAGTAGGAGTTGAAAAAAAGTTTGTATCACAGAGATCATAAAACATCACCAGGGTCACAAAACAGAGATTTCTATCACATTAATTTAAGAAATACACACATACACAAAAATGTAGGTTCCCCCCCCCAATCTCATTTATGGTAAAGTTAATCAAATATATTTCAGCTTAAGACTACTTCATTTGTCTATTTTCTTGATAGTGAAAGATTTGTTAAAACCTTTAAAAGAATATTTTACCCTAACTAGATTTTTTAATTCCTAGAACTCACTCTAAGACAGAATTTTAACTAAGCTTGAAACAAATCACAGTAAAGAAAACAAATGGAAATGACCAAAGGTTTTTTCCAGGAAATAGAACTTAAATAACAGCCTTTATCTTTAACTGGGAGAATGGTGAAGTAACACTACCAAAAAGATTTTTTTTTTCCAAAAAGATTTTTAAACTTACAGTAATAATAAACAAAGTGCAAAACATTCACATTTCCTAGACTTTGAAAAACACTAAGAATAATTCTTATTAATTTACCAGAAAGATTACCCAGATATTCAACTTTTTAGATAAATTTACCTTAAGTTCCCCCTTTCCCATCAGACAGTACTTGTATCCCTAAAAATGCAAAGAAAAAGTGGAGGCGGCTCCAACCAAATCAGTCTGTTTTATTCAACAAAAATATACCACCACCACCATCAACAACATGAAAACTCCAGGTCTACAAGGGTTAGAAATTGGGTAAGGAAATAACTAGTGAGCTCTTACTCCCCCCCAACCATATCCCTCCAAGGGATAGCTACATATTTTTAAAGGGGGGATGAACCAACTAAGTACAATTTAAAATATGCCACTAAACCATCAATGAAGACATTTCAGACTTTGGCAGGATAAGATGTGGATTTAAGAGCACTTATTTACTTCATAAAAGACTGATACCCGCATTATTTCTACACAGATGCAACCTTTCAAATTAATCACATTATATATACACTAACACCTTTAACAATAATCAATATTTTAAATATTAAAGATATTTAAATCGCAGGTTTAGAAAATGACAGTTTAGGACTTATAAAGTCATCTGTTGGTACAAGTTGCAAGTTCATTTATATACAAAGAACTAAAAAAAGATAGGGAAAAAGGAAGCTTACAGAAGTATGAACTAATTATTTAAATACCAAAGAAAATCAGGTTGAGAGAGGATTGCATAGACTGTATTCAAAAATAAAATCCTTTAAAAATGCTTACTTTAAAATAGTAAGTTTTGTGTATATGTTTCCAACTGGTGTTATAAACCCATATAATCCCATTCAAATTTTATCAATATGGAAACTTAAGTATTTATGCCATTTTTGTTTTCCTAAACAAAAATTTCTAAAGTTGGAGTAGGGGCAAAGAGACACAAAACCAACAGAAACCGTTTTCTAGGTTCTCAGTAAAGAATGCTCTTGAGCCAGCCCACTGCAGGCCCAGCAACTCTGGGTGGGTAGCAGGGGGACAGCGCTCGCTCACCTTCGCTGAAGGCGTTTATTCACCGTCAGACCAAAACAGAACAGCAACAGCAGCAGCAAGGAAAAATCTTAACCCAGTGAGACTGAAGTCTTGGGGATTCTTAAGTAGCGACTGCAGTTACACAGTGAAAGGGGCAGTTGTCACTCAGACGCCTCCATGTGATAGATGGTGATGCACCAAGCCAGGCAAGGCTAAATACATTTAAAAATCGCTGACAAATTTCGTTACTGATACCGGCCCTAAGCATCATGTGCTCCCTGGCTCTCCTTTTCATAACAGACCGTTAACAGTGTTACTCAGACGGAGACATGGGCATTTTTAAGTTTGACTGCCGGAAATAAAGAACAGAGTAAACACAAAGCCAATTCTCTGTGAATATTCTGCTGTTCAGAATGTATTCAACAGATGGTAACACATGGAATTAAACACAGAATTAGTATAACTTACATGTCTTAAAAGTATATACTTCACTTATAAATATCTCTAGTTGATAATCTATTAAGAAGCATAAATATTCAAGTGAACATTTGAATTTTCTCTTTAAGAGCTCAGAATTCTTGAAGTCTGATTAGTCTTCTTTTGCTGAAATGTCCAAGACTAAAAAGGCTTCACACAGTCACTTTATGTCTCTAATTAGACATATAAAAGCCTCTATTACCTACTGTGTTGTAATAAAACTTTGAAGTTCTGTAACTCTCTTACACTTGTAGAAAGCCTACAAGAGAGGAAAAAAGCATATTAGTACAGCTAATATGTGTAGACATTTCATATTACTGATGCTGTCATATGGACTATAATTTGAAATCAAATCAAAAATAAAATAATGTAAACAACACTGAACAATGAAGCTTCCCTTTTTTAAAGCATATGCTATAATTATTAAAGACTGGCAAAACAGAGCTGTACTTTGTTACTTTTGATTTAGAAGGGGCAAAGTTACTTCCTATTAGCAACAAATTCTAGATCAATGATGGGAACAGTGATATGATAATTCATTATAATAAAGAATCCCAAATCATTTACATTTGGCCTTAAAAATTCATTTTGCACACTCCTCTGCAAATATCCAATTCTTTCTTATTGCTCCCCAAACATGGATTTGTTTTAACACAAACACTGATCTGTTTTAACACAAAGGTACGGATTCTATTTATCTGTCTACTGTTGAATCCCTATGCCCTCCAGCCACCCATATTTATTTGTTGTTGTTAGTCACTTATTCGTATCCAGCTTTTCTATCCCATAGACTGTAGCCCACCAGGCTCCTCTGTCCATGGAATTTCCCAGGCAAAGAATACTGGAGTGGGTTGCCATTTCCTTCTCCAGAGACCCATATTTATAGTGTTCAATAAATAATTACTGGCTGGCTGGCTGAATGAATAAAATACTTCTGAGCCCAAACTCTGAAGTAAAACTCTGAAATGTGAATCATTAAAAAAGAAATTCTATAAGCTCAATTATCCTTATATACAATTCAGGTCTATGCAATAGAAATCTAAAATTTTTCTTTCTGTAACTTAAGATGATATAGAACAGTACTGAGCCTTTATTTTTTTTGACCGCCTTTAAGTACATAATAAGTAATAACTTTTCTTATATTGAGAGCTTAAGGTCTGGTAGGCAATGTTCTGAGCCCATCACACATATAATCTCATTAATTGTAAACAAAACAAAAATCTCTACAAAGTAGATAAAATTAATCCTGATTTTACATTTTAAGAACACTGTGCATGCTAAGTTGCTTCCGTTGTGTCGGACTCTTTGCGACCCTATGGACCATAGCCCACCAGGCTCTTCTGTCCAAGGGATTCTCCAGGCAAGAACACTGGAGTGAGTTGCCATGCCCTCCTCCAGGGGATCTTCCCAACCCAGGGCTCAAACCCGCATCTCTTAGGTCTCCTGCATTGGCAGGCAGGTTCTTTACCACTATTACCACCTGGGACGCCCATTTAGGAGCCCTGAGGCTTAAATAAATCAAGTAATTTTCTCAGGGTCACTCAACTACTAGGTAGGATTCTAACCAGCTCGTCAGATCCCAGGACCATACAGCCTCTCAAAAAAATCTATGTTCTCTATGGTCTCAAAAACATTTTCTTTATACTCTTACAAGCTGTAGATGAACAGAAAATGAATTCTTACTCAAATCCTCAGAATAGTAGAGAAGTGAAAGTGTTTATAAGGAGAAAATATTATTAAGCAAAATAAATGTTAAAAATCATATTCTGTACCTCAAAGTACCCACTAAAAAAAAAAAAAAACTATCAAAATACATATGAAGATACGGTAGAGACCAAGGCCCTTAACTAAAGGAGAGAGAGCTCGGTAAAGAGCAGCAGTTGAAAAAAGTATGCTCAAAGTCCAATGTAGATACAAAAATGGAGAGCATCAGAAAACTCAAGGCTTTATACAAGCTAACATTTTACCAGGAGAGTAGTACAGACTCAGCAGCACTGTGTGGGACCCGAGTCTCTGTGACGATGCGTCCGAGAGCTCACACGTCATGACACGGGGAGAGTGTGCCCACACTCCCTGTTACTATTCTCAGACAGACACAGCATGGCTCCATCGATCTACTGCTTCACTGGTACTTTCAGAGGGAGATAAAATGTGCTGTAAGACTCAACAGGTTTTTAATACCCTTTCTATTTGTACCCAGGAAAATAAACCATTTGATAGAAATGCTGACACTATCAAAAAGTGGCTGCTAGTGTAGGAAAGACATTTGCAGAGTATTCAAGATAAAGAAAACACATTTCCCAGCATTCTGTGGCCAGAACCAAAAACGGCGCTCACTGTATGTCTCTGCCCACTAGCATCATGGACAAAGCAATACTGTGCTGGGTGCCCGAGCTGAGGTAGAACTGTATTATATAGGTTGTTAGACCAAGAAAACTCCCAGTTCATTTAAGAACGCGTGCACAAACTCCCCAAAGTATAACACAATAATTGTGTGGTTAGTGCAGCCAAAATCATTTCCTATATAAATGAACTGATAATCAGGTGGAAGATACAATGAACAGATCTGATTAACAATTATTAAGAGTAACAATAATATTTTTAAAGGAAAAAAATAAGCAATGTATAGAATCCATATGAAGGAAACAATAAAACTTGACGAAGAGAAAAAAGAATGGCTAAATTTTGGTATGTCCATGTAACAGAATATTGGCCTATATTAAAAACAGTGTTTATGTATTTGAAAACTGCTAAGAAAAAAATTCTGTAATTAGGTATGGTGATGGATGTTAAGTAGGCTTATTGTGGTGATCATTGAGCAACCTAATACCAATACCGAATTATAACGCTACATATATCAAGTATACCCTAAGGAAAAAAATAATGCTTATGAAAAAATAATATTGGGAAATGATCACAACATAATGCCAAGTAAAGAAGGATAAGAAAGTATACAAAATGTGTAAGTAGTGAGAAAATACACATTAAAAATACAACAAATGCTGAAATAGTCCTAAGTGGTAGGCATATGGATGATTTTTACATTTATTTACTAATTTATTCTTTCACGTTTTTCTAAATTTTATATAATGACCATGAATTACTTTAATAATTAAGGGTAGAGAAAGATTAATATTTTAAAAGAGCTTTAAAAAACAGATGGCTGTGATTTGTTTTCCCTGGGAGGATAAGGGTGACTAAATTAGGTTGTTCCTTGTATAACCATCCCACCCTGAGTATCATAACCCTTAAGAAAAGAAAGGTTTCTCACATCTACTCTAGTCATAAAAAAATGAGACAGACTTTTAAGTACTGAACATACTAGAGCACTGAACATCCAGTGGTGTTTGTAAATTACCATCACCACCACCCCTACTGCCATGGACTTCAGAGAGCATCTTGTAATTATTTTAAAAGTGTCACATGGAACCTCATTTTATCTTCATGTTAACTCCACGGGAAAGATTTTTACTTATCTTCATGGTACAGAGAAAGGAAACAAACTGGAAGAAAGGAATGATGTACTTGAACTCATGCTGCCAGTAAATGGCAGGGCCAGGATTCCAGAATGCTAACATCTAACCCTGAGTCCAGTACTCTCTAGAGAACAATAAAAGGTAAAACAGCCTCTGTGGAAAATTCTTAAAGAGATGGGAATACCAGACCACCTAACCTGCCTCCTGAGAAACCTGTATGCAGGTTAAGAAGCAACAGTTATTAGAACTGGACATGGAACAACAGGCTGGTTCCAAATAGGAAAAGGAGTACGTCAAGGCTATATATTGTCACCCTACTTATTTAACTTATATGCAGAGTACTTCATAAGAAATGCCGGGCTGGATGAAGCACAGGCTGGAATCAAGATTGTAGGGAGAAACATCAATAACCTCAGATACTCAGATGACACCACCCTTATGGCTGAAAGTGAAAAAGAACTAAAGAGCCTCTTGATGAAAGAGAAAGAGGAGAATGAAAAAGCTGGCTTAAAACTCAACATTCAGAAAACAAAGATCATGGCATCCAGTCCCATCACTTCATGGCAAATAGATAGGGACACAATGGAAACAGTGACAGACTTTATTTTGGGGGGGCTCCAAAATCCCTGCAGACGGTGACTGCAGCCAGGAAATTAAAAGACCCTTGCTCCTTGGAAGAAAAGCTATGACCAACCTAGACAGCATATTAAAAAGCCAGAGACATTACTTTGTCGACAAAGGTCCTTCTAGTCAAAGCTGTGGCTTTTCCAGTAGTCATGTGTAGATGTGAGAGTTGAACTATAAAGAAAGCTGAGCGCCAAAGAATTGATGCTTTTGAACTGTGGTGTTGGAGAAGACTCTTGAGAGTCCCTTGGACTGCAAGGAGATCAAATCAGTCCATCCTAAAGGAGATCAATCCTGAATATTCATTGGAAGGACTGATGCTGAAGCTGAAACTCCAATACTTTGGCCACCTGATGTGAAGAACTGACTCACTGGAAAAGACCCTGATGCTGGAAAAGACTGAAGGTGAGAGGAGAAGGGGATGACAGAATGAGATGGTTGGATGGCATCACTGACTCAATGGACGTGAGTTTGAGTAAGCTCCAGGAGTTGGTGATGGACAGGGAAGCCTGGCTGCTGCGGTTCATGGGGTCGCAAAGAGTCAGACACGACTGAGCAACTGAACTGAACTGGGCTAGAGAACTGAAGCTGGAAGGGCTGCATTTGTGAATATTCCTTATGAGATTGAGAGAAATTCTGAGGAAGTTGATATCTGGTTCTTTCTCAATTTAATTTTATTTAGATTTAAATATATTTAAAGAAGAAGATTCACAGCTACAGAGAACTAGTGGTGACCAGTGGGGGAGAGGAAAGGGAAAGGGATAATACAGGGGTAACAGTTAAAGGTACAAACTATTATACATAAAATAAACTACAAGGATACATTGTACCACACAGGAATACAGTCAACATTTTATAGTAACTATAAATGGAGTTGTTGTTGTGTGTTGTTGTTGTTTAGTCACTAAGTCATGTCTGTCTCTTGCAACCCATGGACTGTAGCCTACCAGGCTACTATGTCCATCAAAATTTCCAGGCAAGAATACCGGAGTGGATTGCCATTTCCTTTTCCAGGGAATCTCCCTGACCCAGGGATCGAATGCAGGTTGCCTGCATTGCAGGAGGATTCTTTACCATTTGAACCACCAGGGAAGCCGCTGAGCAGAGTTCTCACCTTCCAAAAGCATTTAAAAGAGCAACTATTTCCTGTCGAGTGAGTTGGAAGCCTTTAGATGGGCTGTTCTCTGGAAGCTTTTGGATTTCTTTTTCAGAGAATAATATCTTCAGGGCAGTTCCTAAACCCTGAGTCTAAACAAAATAGTGATAAACTTGCAATTAAATTCACATAATAATAATTGCTATAAAAGTTTAAAGAAACATTCAGTCATTGTGATGAGAAGGTAGGAAATTCGAATGAACTGAACTTTTCACCAAAATATTCAGCTATGCAAAACATAGTTTCTACTTCTCACAGATTATGCATATGATAAATTTATTGAAGCTGTTAAGGAAACCTGAAAAGTTTCACACCTTTTGGATACATATCATACTATTGCAAATTACTAAAATGCCATTTTTTAACCAAGAAAATATCACATTAGGATCAGAAGTGTTCAATATGTAACCCTGAAAGCACTTTTTCTAGCCCCTAGCAATTCAAAACTTAGAAATCATTTTAAGTTCTTAGTGATGCCTACACTTAATAATTTCTCAATTATTAGCACTAAAGAAAAAGAAAAATCTGATTTCGGTGTAGTCACCATTAAAATATATTCCATCTCCTGATTTTCTATGACTTACTATCATCTTTGTAAAAAGATGATAGAAAATATCACACAAGCCTTTTTACACTGAAATATATAGGGAAACGGTCCTGCTGTGCAGACTTTCCTATTTTGTGATTAGGGGACCTCCTTCTTCTGATCACTAATACCAAGTCAGTGATTAAAATTTGATAATTAAGTTTTTTATATGATTATATTTTACCTTCTAAATAGGTATGTAAAATACCAGTACAATCTATTTATAATCACCCAACTTCAGAATGAAATCTGATATTGTACCAACAGAAACAGATATAATAAAACCAAAATCATTAATCTAGAATAGAAGAAAAAACAACCTTATACACATACATATGACACACTGATTTTTTTCATAAATAAAATAGCAAAACCACACTTTGGGTCTCTAATTCAATGAACAATGAGGACATTTTAACGAAAACTTTCAACTTCTCAGTGCAGAAATTTAAGGTTAGTAATAGTTTCAGAACAGAAAACAACACACAAACCTGTAACTTCCCCCATAATCTGCATTTGTCACATCCCACGCAGTCCATTATACGGGAGATATTCTTGAAATGTAACCGGAATTCCTCCTAATGTGCAGAAAATATTTTCATTCTAGTTAGACATTAAAATTAAACTGCACTTGCCTGAATTCTAAAAACATTTTGAAGCTTATTAATGAATGAGTTGTGTTTTTCAACAATGAAGAAAATCATCTGGAGTTGTACAGCATAGCATGCATATGAAATAGCTAACATTAATAGCATTTTATAAAATTCACTCCACATATTAATTCAACCAATTTTTTAATGAGAGGCTACTCCATGCAAAGCACCAACATGTTCACTGTGGGGGACACTAGAGTAAATCATGCATGGTTTTTACTTTGAAGGAGCTTAACTGCTGCTTCCATTTGATATCTGCATACAGCCAGTGGCAAATACATACCTACATTATGTTTTATTTACTTTGGATGCACTGCTTTGTGTAAGTGTAAATCAGAAAGCTAGTCCTGGAACAATGATCAATTCCCATGTCTCTCCTTAGGGCTACCCCATGTTTGTGCATGTGCTGTCAGCATGGACGACCACAGTGTGTGGTCTCGCAGTCCCCCACATTTGCTAAGGCTGCTTCTCCAGGGGTGCTCACTTACTGGATCCTTGAATGGTGCTGTACTAGTTTCCCACACAATTAGGTAACGCTTCTGCCTGTGATCTGTGCACAGGTTTCTGTGACACTAAGGTCAGTCTCAGCTTCTCCAAGGACAACACTAACTAAGAGAAAGTTTCCTCATCCTTTTCATTGGGCAAATGTAGAAAATAAACATCATTTTATTGTACTGAGGCAAACGTTTCATTGCAAAGAGCTAGAGTGAGTCACCTGAAAACTCTGGCCCATCAAAAGCCCAGCCCCGCTGCCCAAAGTGTTTGGAGGAATCTGTAGCTTGGCCAAAAGAAAGACAACAGAAACATTCCAAAAACTCCTTTGTGCTCTCATAGAATTCTCATGCTTTGGAGCAGATGGAAAATGGATTTAAATTCTCCTTTATATACCTTTGAAAAGTAGCAAACCAAATTTCCAGCATTTTACACTTTAAAAGCTAGTTGTGAAACTTTAGTCTGGTCTCAATCTTACCTTACTCATCTATAAAAAAAGATACATAATTATAGTTGTCTTGATCAAAAGTATAAAATTTATATAAACACTTATAAAGTAGGAAGCATTAAAAAATGAATTAACATTATGTTAAATACCATAATATTAATATACGTCTAAAACAACCATAAATCAAAACAACCTTCTAAAACTAAAATACAGTGTGGCTAAACTACTTCATTTCAGAAATACCAAGCAACTCTGACTAATTTATTCATTCTTGTAGCATGTCTACATCTAAAATATCCTGGGGCCAAATATGTTTCAGAATTCATAATTTTTCAGATTTTAGAAATAAAGTACACAACACTATTTATTATGAAACACCCCAATGGAGTATATGGCAACCCCTTATAATCAAATATATGATTGTTTTTGTAGCAAAATGTAATAATAGTCATACAAAGCAGAATTTTTTAAAAAAACACTGTAACTATCTTTACATCAGTTCAGGTTAGACTTCCTTGGTGGCTCAGATGGTAAAGCATCTGCCTACAATGAGGGAGACCCAGGTTCAATCCCTAGGTTGGAAAGATCTCCTGGAGAAGGAAATGGCAACCCACTCCAGTATTCTTGCCTGGAAAATTCCATGGACAGAGGAACCTGGCAGGCTACCGTCCATGGGGTCACAAAGAGTTGGACACGACTGAGCGACTTCACTTTCACTTTCTATAACTATCTTTACATCAGTTCAGGTTAGGTTTTGCTAACAAATTAATTTGCACCAAACATAAGAAAAATGTTCCAGTGGTTGGAGCTTTTGGATTTCAGAATTGCATATAAAAAATTATAGTGCTATAGTAGAAGACTATTTGCCAGTCCATTTCAAACACTTTTATCAAACTATAAAGTGAAGTCGCTCAGTCGTGTCCGACTCTTTGCAACCCCATGGACTGTAGTCTACCGGGCTTCTTCGTCCATGGGATTTTCCAAGCAAGAATACTGGAGTGGGTTGCCATTTCCTTCTCCAGGAGTCAAACTGTAAAGGTGTAATGTATTCCTTAATTACTATAAGCCAGTGGTCCCTAGCCTTTTAGGCACTAGGGACCGATTTCATGGAAGATAATTTTTCCATGCACAGGGAGGGGGGATGGTTTCAGGATGATTCAAACACATGACATTTATTGTGCACTTTATTTCATCAGCTCCACCTCAGATCATCAAGCATGATTAGATCTGGGAGACTGGGGCCCTCTGCTGTAAGCAAATGAAAATGAAGTGCTCCTAATGTGAAGCTTCATAATATTCCTAAAATATAGTCTCTTTCTGATATACCAAGTCAACAGATAATTTTTGCCTTATATGTTAGTCCATAAGTACAAAAACATAATAGTTTGAAAAACTAATAGTTCATAAAATGAACTTTAAAAAATATGCTATTACCTATCTTCGAAGTGGCTAACAGTGCATGACTGCTTTTAAGATGAATCAAAACAAGAAAGAAAAGAAAGAAAACTTCCTCTCAAAATAATGTCTTTTAAAAAGACAATTACAAAGGTGTCATTAGAGTTACAACTGAAGATTCACTAAGCAGGGGGCAAACTAGAGAGAAAAAAGGAACTGAGAGGAGTTTTTTGTATCATTTACAGTAAAATCCAATCAGACCAACCAGATTGAGAACTGGGAAAGGAAGTTCAGAGAAAAAAAATTAAAACACAACCAGTCAGCTGCTCTCCACTCTGCCCACCAATCAAGAACTTTTTACCTTTAACGACTTGGCCCCCTTTTTGTCACCTGCAAACATGGATTTCTCGTCAAAGTGCATGGGAAAGGACCTGATGAAAGGAAAATATTATAAGTTACAGATGAAAAATTCAAGTTCTGGTAGAATTTTCTATCCCTACAAATATTTAAAATTCATAATTTACTCATGTGTAAGGTTTGGTAACATGAGAAGGTGGCAACAGTTTACATATAACTATTCAATAAAAGAGGGCTTTGTAATTTGTAAGACTGTAAGGTTTTGAAGAAATTATATGACAGAAATAACCTAAAAAATTAATAACAATTTATGTGAAAAATGTAAAACATTCTGTTAGCATTTCAAAAAATTTAATGCACAATTTACCTTAAGCATTTCTTAACCCAACTTTCCTCCATGCTCATTTTAACAATCATTAAACTGCAATTTCATAGACCCAGGATATTTTTTTAAGGTTAAACTGTAGAATATAAAGCTAATGTTCTCTTAGGTAATCTATCCTTATGCTAACACATATTACGATGAATTTAAATAGCAACTGGAAGAAAACAAAATTGGCAGAAAGAACACTAAAATAACATTTAATTTTGGCACTACATAAAATTTAAAGTTATATTTAAAAATACAGCCTATTCTCGAGTGTGAAAGTTTATGCAATAAAACTTTTCAGTCAACATTTTTAGAAAAAAATTTTAAAACTCTGCCATCCAATGAACACTGTCTTTCTCAGTTCTAATTCTCCCTTTTCCTAACCAACTTTCAGGAGTCAGTTTTTGTTGTATTTCAAGAACTACCTCATTCAATTACAGAGTGGAGAGTTTCAGATCACTGATAATTCAAGTCTTACTTTGTATCTTGAAAGATATTCAGTAGAAGGGTTTTTGTGTCAGCATCTTCTTGCACATTTCCAGTGTAAAGGTCGACGATTGAGCGCTCAAAGTATGGGGCCACTTTTGATAAAGCTCGAAGCTCAATTAAATATAGGAAGTACAGATTCTTTAGCCTTCTTGGGCCTTCTCCCTTGGTCTCCACAGGGTCGAATCGGCGTTTAAATTCTTTCATGTTAGGTCCCCAGCTAGGTTTACCCCAGGTTTCTAAAAAAGAAATATATTATGTACTTTTAATAAATAAGATTTTTTTCTCTAGAGAATATATTCTTGTCCCCAACAATTTTTATACTAATAGAAAAAATGTCATTACCTTCCAAAAGATAATTTGCACACAGATGTAAATTAATACTAGCATGAAGTCCCGATATAAGCTTATAGAAGACTCTTTTCTCCAGACACAAACCTAGTCAGAAAAATATTGAAAAAGAAATTACATCCATTTAGATAACAGAAATACTGAATCAAGAGGATTTGGTACGCAGGCTTATTTTTAAAGTTAAGATTCAAGGACATTAAAAATAAATAAAGGAACAATATAAAACAATTAGTTTGAGATTCTCTCACTAGCAGATAAAATAAGATTTTGACTTCAGCACGGAGGTAACTGAATATGATAACTTAATGCAGAATAAGATACAAATGTCTGGACTTCTGAAGATCCAAACACTTGAGCAGATGCACTTGGTTAAAGTCCACATGTTACCCAGAAGGCAATAGCACAGACTTTGTGGTTTAGGCTAAACTAAAGCAGACATAAAGTCACTGCTTCGGCTTAACAATAGCTGTTTCTCCTTTTCCCTTCCCTGCAGATGTCTTATTTGAACCTACTTGATAGTGGAGGAAGAAGAGACTGAAACTGAATTCTCTCCTTCTTCTAGATTATTATTATTATTATTATTATTATTATTGAAGCCAGGCCCTCAGCAGTGAAAGCGAGGAATCCTAACCAATGGACCACCAGGGAATTCCCCTTCTTCTAGATTCTTTACTGTGTCTTATTAATCCTTTGTCCTGGATTTCTCTACTTAACTATGTGTTCTGCTTCTCAGGAGCCCAGACCTAGAAGACAGACATCCAGCCAATAAAAAAATGTGTGCTATTTACTATGTAAGTAAAACCACATCAAGATGGAGTTTAGGATTGTGATGGAAGTTTATCTTATGTAGCCTTCTTAAGCCCCACAGGCTTTTGCTCAAAACAGAGGTCAAGATGATTTCATCATCCTATCCTACCCCTGCCTCCATTTAAAAATATTTTCTCTTATTATAAGAGTAATACATATTATGAATGTACTTAATGCTATTAAGTAAAATTTGAAATGCCCAAGAAAGTAAATTTTATACTGTATTTTCCACAATAAAAAAGGAATAATATTTTTAGAAAATATTCTTTATAGCAACTTTTTAAAGTAAAAATGTAAAAATTAGTCTTTAAGAATCCATCAGATCCATAACAATGAGCTTTTCCCCTTTTCTACCACTCAACAGAGTTTGTTTTTGTCTTTTTTGCCCCCACCCCCCACCCGCCATGGGGAAAAATGGGCTCCAACATTGAAAACTAAGAAATAATCTCATTTATATGCTGAAGGCTTTTTAAGACATTAAGAGTATGTATGTGGCTTACTTTGCATCTTTTTAGGATCTTTTAGATCTTCAACTTACTTTCCCTTTGTGTTCTACAACAGATGGCTCTGAAGCAAGTAACTTCTAATAGGAAAAAAATAATTATTTTGAGATCTCATTTCCTAATTCAAAATTCTTCCTAGAATATTCTCATCTCATCTCATGGATAGAGTATGTGTGCATGCTAAGTCACTTCAGTTGTGTCCAACTCTTTGCGACCCTATGGACTGTAACCCACCAGGCTCCTCTGTCCACAGGATTCTCCAACTAAGAATACTGGAATGGGTTGACATGCCCTCCTCCAGGGGATCTTCCTGACCTAGGGATTGAACCTGCGTCTCTTACATCTCCTGCGATGGCATGCAGTTCTTTACCACTAGCGCCACCTGGGAAACCCCATGGATAAAGGTAGAAATTAAATTCTATTTTGTGGTTTCCTCACAATAAATAAAAATTAAATGCAGCATTTATCTCTTTTAAAAAAAGCATATGGCCAAGTTTATGGTAACAAGGGATATAAACAATATGAATAACTTTGATAAAACATTAGGTACTAAATTCTCCTGTAGTAAAACTTCGTATCAAATCTGTTATCAAGTAGCAAAATGATCAGATTTGAGGTTCACTTTTTCTTCCTTTCAACCTAAGCAGTAAAATATCTAAAGATAAGAGAATGGAAAATAAGCAAAGCTCATGAAAATTCATATGCCTAAAAATGAGAACATGAAAAACTAGGAGGCAATTCAAATTTGCAAAGTTCACAAAGCTCCTTACCTAAAACAGGGATGGGTGGTAAGTGGGAAGGAAGGAAGAAAAATCTATACTTCCATAAACTGAAAATTAGGCAACTTCAAGAAAAATCTTAACAATAAAAGATGTGCCAAGTGAATGCACCAAGAAGACATACAATACTCTTAGCAGGAAAGTGCTGGAGAGCTGACCCCCACCTGCAGTCTGCTGCCAGGCCAATGCCTAGCAAATCCAAATGCTGACTTTAGCAAGTGGTTCTCCTCTTTCTCTTCTGGATTTAATTTCATTCAAATTCATTTTCACCAACCAAACTATAGGACAACAATATATAATTTTTTTCTCACAAAAGGACTAGATTTACTGTAATACTATTATTTGGCATTTGTACATTGTTTAGTGATTCTCAAGGCAATTTTCATAGGCATCATCTACACTCACAGCGTACGTAAGCTGGATGGCTATTGCCACTCTCGTGCCCCAGATCAGCAACCTGAATCTCAGAGAAATTGAGTCAGTTGCCTACAAATGGGAGTGCTCACTGAACCATGTATCAATGGACTTCCATCAATAGGATACTAGGAGATTCTGGGGTGTATAGTATATATCCTAGAATTTGACACTGCCCATAAATTTCATTCTTATCCTCCATTATCAATATGCAGAGTCTTTGCCCACCTCTTTTGAACTAAATGCTATTTTTTGCAATTTGTACTTTTAGAATAAAGCTAATTAAACAAAGCTAAGCATCTTTTCCCACATTGGCCATTTGTCAGTGTAATTCCTAGCAGTATTTGCATATCGAAAATAATTCATTTAAAAAAGAGAAATCCCATTCATAATATAACATGACTAACACACATAAGAATCTAGTATATTGGGATCTATATTACTTTATGCTTTAGTTAGACAGTTTAGACTGTATGTTTAAACATGTTTAAAATAGTCTGAATTCAAATTCATCTTCCCTTAATTTCATATACAAAAAAACCCACTTTCTTTCAAAAAGAATGTCTCTACTTAACAAACCAGACTTGCATAATGCTTCCTAGAAAAGTAGTTTGGATGAGTATTACATACAGAATGGAAATAAGACTGGAAACCAGTTATGAAAATGTGATGACCATATCTGCCCTGTGTATTTTCATAACACTGGGTTTTAGCTGACCAATATCCTCAACATTTTCAAATAATTTTATCCTAAACTATAATAAGATAAAACATGTTATTTTCTTTCAAATACTGTCAAGATTAGTTGTCTGGGTAATGAATCCTAAAACTTACAAATATATATTAAAATATCTTTTTGTAAGATGCCAATATGTTTAAAATGTAGACATTAGGTTACCTTCTAGCCATGTGTAGAATGATTCTCCTAAAAAACAAAGCAAAAACAATCAAAATTATATACACATATTTACTTAAACGCTTAAATATCCATAAGATTGAAGAGAAACAATCTTAAGTTTGCCTTTGATGATAACAACCATAGCACTGTTCAAAACTTCCAGAAAAAAGGTGAATTATAATTAATACAAAAATCAAATTACTAATTATCCTATTTTTCCTGAACCAGTAAAGCTACATATACTTCCTTAATTATCTAAAAATGCCAAGTTTCAAGGGATAATAAAAAAAAGTTCTCTAGTTTTCAAGATAATTCTTCAGAAAAGTTAATGACCAGAATATGAAGGGGCCTTACTATGTGTACCATGCTAAAAGAACTAATCCTAGCCCACTATTGTTCTGAGTGAAAAGAAAAATGGCAGTCAATAAGGATAAGAATAGTTAATATACTTCCTAAGTTACCCATCCTTATTTCAATTGTGAAAAGCAAAGCATGAGGATGAAAACTCAACACACAGATGGCTGAGCAAGGAGTATAGGGGATAAATTAAGATGGTGGGGAATTACTTTGTCTCCTGAGTCTTCACCCTGCAACAACACAAATACTTTCCCTAGAGATTCATTCATTCAACATGCTCTTACTTAGATGATACTCTTACAAAGGAGCATTCATTATCTCACTCGTTTATTCAGAAAGCCCCAACAGTTAATAGCAAAAGTCTAGCTTCCAAGGTCCTCAACAATCTGTCCTCTACTCATCTTTCTAATTTAAACTACCCTATGTGAAGTCTTTCCAACTGCTAACAGGGTCTCCCAAAACATGCCTTGTTTTTTGCTTTTTCAACTCCTTGGTCTGTGCTGTCATTCAAGTAGAACATACTATCCAATTCTACTGGCTTAAATCTGTCCATTATTTGTCCATCTCAAATGCCACCTTTTCCAGTAATATTCCAAGTGAGAGAGGATCTATTCCACCTCTGAACAAACTACTACATCACTTACTGTCTGTACTATGTATGTAATAATTCTTTATCATCTCTTATGAATAGTGCTTATTACTACTGTACATATTTTTAGCTCCTAGAGGAAAGGTATGTTTTATACATCTTTCCATCCTGTACAATGTGTACAATGCTCATCATGGTGCTCCTGAACACAGCTAAGTAAATGAAATAATTATTTTGGCTGTTTTGCGGCATGTTATAACTGATATTCATTTAGAAATCTGGAATAACCTACTGTTGACAAATTATCATTCATCAGATTAAGTGTAATAATGATGACTGAGGTTATAAATTACAAAGAATATTCAATAAGAATATAAAGAAATCACAAGACAAATATCTGATAAAACTATTTTAATTTCCCTCCATTTCTTTAGAACATATTCAAATAGATCACAATAACCAAAAAATAGGGGAACTTGGAATGTGATCCTGTTTCTATACTAAACATGTAAGTAGAATGGTTGTTATACTGTTTTTAACATAGTGTAACTTTGAATTATATATATTAAAAAAAACCTCTCTTTTTTGGGTCGCCATTGATTGGTAGTTATTTTCTGGGAAAAAATAGGATAAATACTTTTGAATTAAAAACAGGAAAAAATCAAATTTTGATCATTAAAGACATTTCTTCTACACTTGCAGCAAACATAAAATGAGAGTTTTAACTCACCATCATCTTCTCCTGAAAGATAAAATAAATAGATAGGCTATCAGAAAATGTCTTCCACAGTTCAGATTCCAATCCGATTTATTTTAATATGCGATTAAAACTTACTGTGTGTTAAACGATTAATCATACCATTAACTTTGGTTGGCTTGTAGTTATCCTACAAATAAGACTTAATAAGAATAAAAGCGAAACAGCACAAGATTTTCATATATGTTTTATGCAATAAATAGTATCAGAGAGCAAGTAATCATAAAACCACTAGTTTCAATAATTAACAAATATACAAAGTTACTCCTTTAATTGTTATGCACATAACTCTTTCTGAACATGTGTTTTTAGACTGGAGCACTTTTCTTTCTTAAATTACTGCTCTTCAGCACACAGTCATCTGAATAAAAGCCCTTCCCAAACTGTCGTCAATGAAAGCATCCTTGCAGGTGCTGTGGGACTGCCCAGACATGGGGAAGAGGCCAGAAAGATGGACTATCGGGCTCCACAGCAGCCCTGCCTTTATTGGCTTTACATGTGGAATTCTGACATAAGATTTATTTTTGAAAAAAAGTTCTGTTGCACAAAAACTGTTCAAAATCTAGTTGTAGAAGCCCAGCTGTTATAGCTCAGGAGTAGCATGGAAGAAACAGTTAATATTAAACAGCTGTTCATCAACAATTCATAGTTTGAGTGAAGAAAGCTCATCAACAGCATTAGCAAGAGCTGTTTCATTACTTCCTAGGGTACCACCATCACCTGGAACCCATTCTCTCCCTTACCCAATCTTTTGTCTCCCTCTTCTACACTTATTTTCTCTTTTCTACTCCTCTTTCCTCCCTCTATCTTCTTTTCTGAGCACTTTCCTTCCTCTCCTCATCTCTTCTACAGTTTCAAGTCTTAGTTTATCATAATATGGAAGTGAAGTGTTTCTTAGGATTTGATGCTTTTATTAAATGAACAATTGTACTTTCTGCTTTACAAGTGATTATATGGTCTTCCTTGGTGGCTCAGTGGTAAAAAAAAATCTGCCTACCAGTGCAGGAGACATGGGTTTGATCCCTGATCTGGGGAGACTCCACATGCCATGGAGCAACGAAGCCTGTGCTCTAAAGCCCGGGAGCCATAGCTACTGAGCCCTCGAAACACAACTACTGAGCCCCAGCACCCTAGAGCCTGTGCTCTGCAACAAAAGAGACCCAAGCACCACAGCCAGAGAGTAGCCCCTGCTTGTTGCAACTACAGAAAAGCCCGCACAGCAATGAAAACCCTGCACAGCCAAAAATAGAATAAATAAATAAATAAACATTTTTTAAAGAGTAAGTTATTATAGAAAAGGTCTGGAAGGATACCTTCCAAACTGTACTATGGAAGGGAAAAAGTGTGGAGGCAGGTAGGAATGGGGAGGGGGGCAGTGTCCTCTTTTTACTTTATGTTATTTTTGTATTGTTTCAATTTTCATAAAAATCTTACATAATAAAAACATTTAAGTTGAAAATAGAAAAGCTATTAAGTAAAAGTAGTAAAAAGAGAGAAAGGGGAGGAAGCCATCCACATCGTCTTCATACTCCAATTACCTTGTCCAGGCAGTTTCAGAATGAATTTGGGAAGACTATATGCCACCCTGTGACAGAGGGCACATCTGAGAGCAGTCCATTCATTCCACCTTCCCAAATCTCTCTGGTTTTGAGAAATGCCTAAAAAGATGAATCTAGACCAGGAAATTCAAGTTCCTAAATCAATCCTGGTCTAAAGAAAGCATTCAAATATCAATCACAGGGCTGCTCCCAGGGTTTGGGTCCTCATTGAGAACAGATTGAAGATATGCCTAATAATTTTACATTGAATAACCTCCAACTGTGTGCGATAAAGCTGTCGCATAGGACTATAATACCAGCCATGTATGTGATTAAAATATTTTTCTAATAAAAATGTAATGTTTTCTCATATCCACATTTTGAAAAGTAAATGGTATACATGCATTAAGTACATCAACAATTCGCTTTGTGATGCAAGAGTTAAAGTGGTTCTACCAAAACAATAAGATTCTGTTTAAGGGCAAAAATATTTTATACTGCTTTAGTTTTTTAATTTAAATGAACTAAATTACATAAAATGGGAAATTTAGTTTCACAGAAGCACATGTTCTGTGCTCAATAGCCTGATGTGGCAAGTGGCAACCTAACTTTCTGGTACTTCTCTACATCCTTCTGACTCAGAGTGTTGTGCACAGATCAGCACGTGGGCATCACTTGGGAGTCTCACCCAAGACCTACAGAATCAGAATCTGGTATCTAACAAGGCTCCAAGGTGATCTGTATGCACATTGAAGTCTGAAAAGCACAGGAGGAGCCACTGGTTCTCAAACTTGGCTGCATACTAGAAGCATCTAGAAAGCTTTAAAATCACCAACACCTGGATCCCGATTCCAAAGATTCTGACAACTGGTATGGGATAAGGCCTGGACATCCAGATTTTCAGGAGTTCCCCAGAACCTCTAATATATATGGATTATTCATATTTCTAATTTATTTTATATAAAACTCCTAGTTTAGGGCCTGGCACATATCAAGCAATCAATAAAGGATAGTAATTATACAAAACATGTGGAAATCTTGATACAACTATGAACTAAGCTTATTCTTTTAATCATTCAAATTAGCAAATATACAAAATAGCTGAACATTTTCTCAATATATAGTTACAAAGGTATTTTGTAAACAATATCCAAAAACATGAAAATGTATGAGACACCCACCTCGGCTGGGTGCCAGAGGATTTAAAGGACGATAAACAGATCGAGGCCTGAAAAAGAAAAGTACAAAATTCAGACGTAAAGTGGTTTGACATTTTGATGTAATTTTTTCCAAAGGAAACAAATATTCCCTTTCTCCCACCTCCCCTCTAGTCAATCCTCTTCCTCCCCCCCCACCCCCCCAGTTACTTGAAACAGTTTTCTTCATAGATGCTGTTCCACACTCTCCACGCAGAAGACCCTTTATAGCCGGTGTAGCGCTCGGGATTCAGCAGCAGGTCTACGTACTGAGCAGCTGGAGACCGCTCATCTGGACAAGAAACAACTCATAAAGCCATCTATATGTCACCATCTATGCAAAGTTTACCATACAAAGCAAGCAGGGCTACACAAAAGTCAGATGAAAGACTGCACTTTCAAGTCGTCTCCAAGTTAAACGGCAGAGTGGTTAGCACGCTTGTGACTGTCCTTTACCCAGGATTTATAATAACTTGAACTTAAGAGAGAAAAAATAACTTCTCCCTTTCTTTTGGATGCTCAGTGATCTTTTAAATAATATAACATCCCTTACCTTAATTAGAGGCATTAATTACTTCTAAAGTTTAAACCACCAAGACTGAACAGACCTAACCAAATCATAACCTGTTTTAGTATTTCATGTGTTTGCCCCCCTCCATGTATACAGCTACCTAAACACATACTTGAGACATGTTAGTACTTATTATATTTAAAAAGATCTCTCGGTTACTCTCTGCTTGGACTTAGGAAGTAAATGGTACAATAACTTTGAGATTCAAATTTGATCATTCAGAGTTACACCATGTTCTAGTAAAAAAAAGTTACAAATTTATTTTTACCAATGTTAATATATTATTTAACATATTAACTGGTTAACATATGGGTTAGTAGGCACAACTTCAAGAACTTATTAGCACATTTAAAATTAAATAATGGCTTTCCATGTTGAAACCCAAATGAGTATTTACTAGATCTCCACTATTTGGACAATATTTTGAGAGAGATAAAAGGAAAAATCATCTTAATTACTGAGGTTCATATTTTGGGTAGAAAAGGGAAGCATAGGTTTTCTTACCTATATAAAAATTATAATGACTATGCTTCACAAATCTATTCTAATAATACTTATAGGCTGAAGTGCTATGTATGTTGGCACAGATGTACTCTTTTATTTATATGCTTCCTACTTTTTGATGTCATGGTATTAATCAATGACATTAATATATAGTCACCTGACTTGAAACAAGACCAAATATGGTCATTAAAATATAGTCCCTCTTAGTTTCATTACCTGTCAGTCAAAAATATTCACTGGCCATTCAATGACCATAGATTAAGATTATCCACAAATCTAAAGGGAAAAAAAGAGTATCCTAAAACATGTCTTCTGAGAACTACCTGGTACTTTCATGATGTAGGAAGAATACAAAGATAATTTCAACTTCCCATTAGTAAATGAATGGCATCTCACAGATGATGGAAACATGATTTTTAAAGAATACTGGTTCTATTTCTAGCACTAACATTATACAGATACTCCACTATGTAAATTAAGGCATAGAAAACAGTTTATTTGTAAATGGAAGAACAGAAACTGTCTAAGGACATTTCTTAATCAAGACTTAAGACTAATTTTAAATTTTTAATTTTAATTAATTTAAAATTTTTAATTAATAAAAATTTAAATAATTAAGTTAATGAATTTTACTTTTATAGTAAAATTTTAAATGCTTTATAATAACAAATTTCTGTTAATTATTTTAAATTTCTTTGAGCCATTCTTAGTTCACCTTACAAAACTGAGTTATGTATACGAACTTAAATACTAATATCATAAATATATACTCATATACATATATTCCATATGTATAAAGTACATGTGTGCACAGACATAAGCCTACACTTATATAGAGTCATCTATGAATGTGCAGATTGAATTAATATCACCCTCTTCACCCAATTAAACCAACTAAACAGTAAAGAAAAAAATCCTTGGATTCAGATATTGAAGTATATGGATTTAAAGTATACTTCAAGGGAGTAGAAAGTCACATGAGCAAAATCAATTATACAGGTTTTAAAATTAAGTAAAACTTACATTCTTCATGTTCTTAATGTGTATTCCTTTAATTCAACCAAAAGTTGTTTTAAAAAATTTAATACTTTTTCAAATCATGAAAAAGGAGGGTTTTGTTAACCTACAGAAAGGGTTAGCAAACTATGGCCCACAAGACAAGTCTGGTCTGCTAAGTATTTTTGTAAAGATAGTTTTATGGGAACACAAGTCTTGTTCATTTGCCTATGTACTGCTTTCACACTATTATGACAGATTTGAGCAGTTACAGCTGAGGCCACGTAAACTATGGTCTATCTAATATATATAATATTTATGGTCTATCTAAAATATTTACTATCTGCCCATTTACAAAAGAAGAAGTTTGTCAACTCCTGACCTATACTGACAAGAATTTCATGACATCCAGAATGAAGAACTTATGTGGGAAAAAGCATACACAGGTTGAAGTCCCCTACAAAACACACCCATTCTTACTCCTGGATTTGTTCCTAAACTAGAATTTCTTTTCATTTGTACGACTATCATTCATTCAGACAGTTCTCTTAGATCCCTAATAAACCCTCCCCTCAGAAAGTTTTGTCTTCTTCCTCCCTCTACAAACCTGCTCCAAAGCTATTCCTTCTTTCTGACTATTCTAACAATTACCTAAGGATTCAAAGAATTTCTGTTCAGTCAAAACACCTAATTCTGTAAATTTGTCAACTTGAACAATATTATTTCTTCTTCTTCCTCAAGTACCACCTTTTATCCGATTGAATTTTCCTTTCACTGCTCTAATTTAGTATTAGTGTTCTGAGTCTACATTGCATTCTCTAGCCCTCCTGACCCATGTATCTCTTAAAACGTAATGGTTGCACAGGCCAACTTAATATGCAGGCTTTTTGCTTATGGGCACAGATCAAAAATATTAGGTTATAGACTCAGGACTGAGTCCCCAATCTTCTCTCTCTAAAGCTACCCCAAACTTCGATTTACTATTAAAACATAATTTCCTCAGTCAAGGAGAAACTATAGTTTATAAAGCACCCAAGTAATTTTGATATACAGCCAGATTTAGAAACTCCTGTTTCAAGCAGTATTTTTAACGTATCAGTGAATCTGTTGAAATGGGAAAACTAAAAAAGTAAAAATCTATCACATTATTTTGGCTATTTATGAACCAACTAGGACTCCCCTGTGGCTCAAAAGGTAAAGAATCTGCCTGCAATGCAGGAGATCTGGGTTTGATCCCTGGGTGGGGAACATCCTCTAGAGAAGGGAATGGCAATTCACTCCAGTATTCTTGCCTGGAGAATCCCATGGACAGAGGAGCCTGGTGAGCTACAGTGTGTGGGTTCACAAAGAGTCGGACATGACTGAGCAACGAATACTACTATATGAACCAACTACTTCAATCAACAGGTATTTATTGGGAATGAACCACAGCCAGGCAGTGTTCCAGGCACTAGGGACACAGTTATGAACAAAAAGACAAAGTCCTTGCCCCCCAGTGGCTCACAGTCTAGCTGAAGACAGACAACAAACAGTTAACTAACGTCTCACACACAGTTCTTAGTGCTCTGAGAGCAGGCAGCAATGCACAGAGACAGAGAGGAAAGCGGTTGCTCTTTTATGACAGACAGCAGGTTCTCTAATGAAGTGACATCTGAGCAGCAACTCACGTATAAAAAACAATAACAAAAAAATAAATAAATAGAGAGGGGTAGGGAGAGCAGCCTACCTTAAACCACTAAATTATTTAAAAACCTACTATTTGATCTGTAAGGATCGTCTTCCTTTCAAATAAGAACAAAGCCAAAAACAAATCAGCAGATAACAGGGGTGTTTGGCTATACCCCAATACACTGGGGTGAACATTCTTTAGATTTTTGCTTTAATCTGATGATTTAGATTATTGAAATAACAATGACGCCAAAGCTACTCTGATGGTATTTTTTAAAACTGTGGGTGAAAAAGTCTTTGGGACACACATGAACATTACTACCCAGAAGAAGTGGTAATCCAACTAGTAGCATGGTTTCACATGTTTAAGACATACACAAACTATAAAAACTACCAGTTATTTTAATTATGGAATCCTAAAATTTTTTAAAGATGATTTTATGTAGGTAGCCATGTGAGCGCTTACCCAGGTATAGTGACTTGCTTTGATGAAACCTTTGCCAATTCTAAATATCACAACAGGAATATTTTATGAATTTGACTATCACTATATCCAAAAAAACTCTGTTCAGATTTCTTAACCATTTCCTTGCTGAAACCATATAAACTGTGGTAATAACACTCCCTCTCCCAGTGTCTCCTCAATTGACTATAATATTGGAGAGGTGCCCAGTAAGTATCCCATTACAGACTGTATTAACAGCACAATTCTACAAATAAATCTTTTAAAAATTTTTAGAAAGCAGACCACTTTAGATGCTTTAAAACTTCAGAAGAACTTCTGCTGCCTGTTAATTATGCATGCTTGAAACTCAAATCCTTTTCCACCGCAAACAATATAACAATACCAAGGTAAAAGGTAAAGAGAAGCCGGATGAATTGTGCTAAGCCTATGCAACACAATTATTGGGAGTATTCTCCTGTAGACAAAAGATCTGGAGACGCGTCAATTATCTTCTGCTGAAAGAAATGGTAGTTACTATTGAACCGTGATGGCCTGGCTTTATTCCATTCCAAACAGAGCTGTGGGGATCAAGTAAGAGTCCTCTCCAATATTGAAAGGTGTCTTTATGTTAGTTTGTTGAGACTTCCAACTAATTTCATTGTGAACATTTCTATAATATGGTCGCAGACCTATAATTAAGTGGCTTGAATTAGAGGTCCATAGGAGATGGGGGTGTCACAATGGAAAGAAGACATGTCTGGGAATGAGATCTAGGATTGAATCCTGACTCAGCTCTTGCTACTGTGTGATCTCGGGCAAGTTTTTAGTCTTTTTGAGACTCAGTTTCCTCAGATATAAAATGATACACACCTATCAGTGTAGTTGTAAAGCTAAGAAATGATGAACTTAAGGCACTTAGTACAAGGCCTGGAATACCAGTTCTTAATAAATACTATAGTAATATCCACATACAACATCCTGTGTATTAAAGCTATAACTTTGACTGTATTTTCACTGATTTAAGTATCTTAAAAGGGTTAAAGTTAAAATAATGTAATTACAATAGTTTATTTTATTACCATCAAGTTCACAAAAGTGATCCTGTGAATCATCATATCTTGCCCAGTCAATGAAAGCTTCTTTGCTTTGATTACTAGGGGAAGGAGGAATAAAAGAGAAAAAGGATTAAATTTGGAGTTGAGAAGTTTGACACTGTATTCTAGTGTATTAAAAATAAGATACTCTGAGATCACTTCTTCATTAATTAGATGGCATTACAAATTCAGTTAGTGGTCACATGAAGCAATGATTAAAACAAGTGATATGAAAGACAGAGATATTAATTTCCATGAGTGATTTTTACTTTTTAACTATATTAAAACTATTTTAGGCCTAGTTCAATGATGATTACTTAGACCAGAAAACTAATTTACAAATACATATAAGATTCAACTAAACACAAAACTCAAGCTGGTCTTTTCAATTGACTTAGAAATGAAGTAAACATGTATTATTTTTTCCTAAGTAGGAATTAAATTAACTTTCAAGATTCTTTTAATTTAAATTGCTTCTGTACTTATATTATATTCAAAAATACTAAAAAAAAAAAATGCATTTCTAGGATCTTCCATCCAACACCCCTTAGTAAAATCAATGTCACTTTTATCACATTGTATTATTCATTTTACACATTACCTCACATTTAACAAAATCTATGACAAGATTTCTGTCCAGGAGAACTGATAAAGGAACAACTACACTCAAAATAAACCCTGGCCTATATTTCCTTTAACAGATATTCAGATCTTCTCTATCTTAAATACACAGTGGCAGCATATATAAGAGAAGTATTATTATCCTTCTTTACTTACTACACAAAAAGAAAAAAAACAAGACAAAAAAATTATGTACTAAGTATAAATCAGGTATTCCTAAATGTGGTACTGTCATAGCCAATAATTTATTTTGCATTTGAGAAGCTGCTGCATAGCGTAACCACTGTATGACGTATATAAGGCTGTCTGCACTACAACCACCTTACCAATAAAAATCTCCAATTTAATTTACCATGGAATTTTCTCCTATGGAATACATAATTAAATAAAAGTTAATAAAAAAATTTATACCATAAGTGACTCAGTTGAAATATATGATGCCATAAAACAAAAATGTCTAAGTTCCAGTTACAACTAAAATGATAACTATAGTCATGTTTAATCAGATAAGTCTTCTCCTGAAAATAGTAAGGAACAAAGCAATTTTGATACAAATGCCTATTTTCTTATTAGCAATATGACTTAGAGGAACTTTTAGTACCTTTATTTGATGAGGTTTTATTTGATAAGGTTTTCTAATTGTTTCATCTAACCCTTCCTTAAAGCCATGGTACATGGAATGCTAATCTAATGCTAATAAAGCTGGCCCAGTTTGGTTTCAAAATGAGTTGGAAGGAAATTTAGAGATCATCTAGTCCAGCTTTTCTAAAAAGTCAGTTTGAAGATCGATGCTACAGTACTTACAGAAGAATTTCTTGGGCTTAACCTAGGGCTTCGTATCAAGATGCTGCTGTGAGTTAAAGTAGTCATCTTTAAAGTGGGAAATGGGCAGGAAGGGATGGGATGGACGGATTACACAGGGGCATGAGAAAACTTTGGGGAGTGTATGTATAATTATCTTGCTTGTGCTGATCTTTGTGAGTGTACACTTGTCAAAACATCACATTGTACATTTTGAATAGGTATAGTGTATTGTATGTCAATTACACTTCTATAAAGCACTACTGGTAGTTAAAAAAGTTATGTGATGAAGAATTCCTGTACAGTACTACTAGCAGCAATACATTTTGATACAGTCATTTTGGAAAACCACCTGGCAGTTCTTAATTCCCTGGTGGCTCAGTGGTAAAAAAAAATCTGCCTGCCAATGCAGGTTCAAAGATTCCTCTGTGGAAGGAAATGGCAATCTACTCCAGTATTCTTGCCTGGGAAATGCCATGGGCAGGGAAGCCTGGCAGGCTATAGTCCGTGGGGTCACAAAAGGATTGGACAGGACTCAGTGACTAAACAATTTCTCCTGTAGGTATACTTCTCCACAGGAATGCATACAAATGTACGACCAAATAGCTACCTAAATGTTTTGTGAAATGGCCAAAACATCCAGCGTATTATTCAACATAATGTTGTATAAAATAAGCCAGATACAAAAGAAGATACACTGTATTATTCCACTTATATAAGTTGGCAAAACTAATCTTTGCTAATATAACTCAAAATCATGGTTAACTCTGGAAAGTGATAATGGCTACGAAAGCACATAAGGTGATCTCCTGGGTGCAAGTATCTTGTTCTGGATGGTGGCTAATGGAGTTGGTCCACTCTGTAAAGTTAAACTGACTTTTATACTTAGACTTGTATACTTTATTATATGTGTGCTAAACTTAAAAGTTAAAAAAATTAGTAACTATGGTTCAACAAAAATCTATAAGTGAAATCAAAAGACAAGCCCTAACATCCCATATAACCAACAAAGAAATATTATCAGATTATATGAAGAGTACCTACAAATTAATTTAGAAATGTACCCTTTCCCCAAAGGAGAGAAAAATAGCAAAGAATATGAACAGGTCATTTACCTCAAAAATCTTATGATTACTTAAGGCCCAGTCCCTGGATCACTTCTCTATTCTTAATTTCTCCTTGGTAATCTCACTCAGGTTTATGGTTTTTAAATATCACATAGTCACTGAATGACTCCCACATTTTCTCTCCAGTCCAGACCTCTCCCCTGAAATTGAGACTTGTATATCTGCTTGCTTGACATCTCCATAGGCAGTTCAAACTTAACTAGTACAAGGTCGAACTAAAATTTCCCATCAAACTTGCTTCCCTTGTAGATGTCTGCAGTGCAGCAAGTGGCAGCTTCATTTTCTTAGTTCCAAATCTTGCAATTATTCACAGCTCCTATCTGTTTTCATATACTACATTCAATCCTTCAGCAAATACTATCAGCTCTACCTTCAAAATCTATTCTGAATCTGACCACCTCTCAATGTTTCCACTGCTATCAGGTCAGTTCACTTGCTTAGTCGTGTCAGACTATTTGCAACCCCATGGACTGCAGCATGCCAGGCTTCCTGTCCATCACCAACTCCCAGAGCTTACTCAAACTCATGACCACAGAGTCAGTGATGCCATCCAACCGTTTCATCCTCTGTTGTCCCCTTCTCCTCCCACCTTCAATCTTTCCCAGCATCAGGGTCTTTTCCAATGAGTCAGTTCTTCACATTAGGTGGCTAGAGTATTGGAGTTTCAGGTTCAGCATCAGTCCCTCCAATGAATATTCAGGACTGATTTCCTTTAGGATGGACTGGTTGGATCTCTTTGCAGTCAAAGGGACTCTCAAGAGTCTTCTCCGACTCCACAGTTCAAAAGCATCAATTCTTCGGTGCTCAGCTTTCTTTGTAGTCCAACTCTCACATCCATACATGACTACTGGAAAAACCACAGCTTTGAGTATACAGACTTTCATCGGTGAAGTAATGCCCCTACTTTTTAATATGCTGTCTAGGTTTGTCATAGCATTTCCTCCAAGGAGCAAGTGTCTTTGGCTGCAGTTACCATAGTCCAACTCTCACATCTATACATACTACTGGAAAAACCATAGCTTTCACTAGATGGACCTTTGTTGGCAAAGTAATGTCTCTGTTTTTTAATATGCCGCCTAGGTTGGTCATATCTTTTTTCCCAAGGAGCAAGCGTCTTTTAATTTCATGGCTGCCATCACTATCTACAGTGATTTTGGAGCACCCAAAAATAAAGTCTGTCACTGTTTCCATTGTTTCCCCATCTATTTGCCATGAAGTGATGGGACCAGATGCCATGATCTTTTCTGAATGTTGAGCTTTAAGCCAACTTTTCACTCTCCTCTTTCACTTTCATCAAGAGGCTCTTCTTCTTCACTTTCTGCCATAAGGGTGGTATCATCTGCATATCTGAGGTTATTGATATTTCTCATGGCAATCAGATTCCAGCTTGGGCTTCATCCAGCCTGGCATTTTGCATGATATACTCTGCATATAAGTTAAATAAGCAGGGTGACAAGGTACAACCTTGATGTACTCCTTTTCCTATTTGGAACCAGTCTGTTGTTCCATGTCCAGTTCTAACTGTTGCTTCCTGACCTGCAAACATTTTTCTCAGGAGGCAGGTCAGGTGGTCTGGTATTCCCATCTCTTGAAGAATTCTCCAGAGTTTGTTGTGATCCACACAGTCAAAGGCTTTGGTGTAGTCAGTAAAGCTGAAATATGTTTTTCTGGAACTCTCTTGCTGTTTTGATGATCCAACGGATGTTGGCAAGTTGATCTCTGGTTCCTCTGCCTTTTCTAAACCCAGCTTGAACATCTGGAAGTTCTTGGTGCATGTACTGTTGAAGCTTCGCTTGGAGAATTTTGAGCATTACTTTGCTAGTGTGTGAGATGAGTGCAATTGTGCAGCAGTTTGAACATTCTTTGGCACTGCCACCTTTCCTTTGGAATTGGATGAAAACTGACCTTTTCCAGTCCTGTGGCCACTGCTGAGTTTTCCAAACTTGCTGGCATATTGAGTGCAGCACTTTAACAGCATCATCTTTTAGGATTTGAAATAGCTCAACTGGAATTACATCACTTCCACTAGCTTTGTTCATAGTGATGCTTCCTGAGGCCCACTTGACTTCGCATTCCAGGATGTCTGGCTCTAGGTGAGTGATCACACCACTGTGGTTATCTGGGTCATTAAGATCTTTTTTGAATACGTCTTCTGTGTATTCTTGCCACCTCTTTTTAATATCTTCTGCTTCTGTTAGGTCCATACCATTTCTGTCCTTTATTGTGCCCATCTTTGCATGAAATGTTCCCTTGGTATCACAATTTTCTTGAAGAGATCTCTAGTCTTTCCCATTCTATTGCTTTCCCCTATCTCTTTGCACTGATCATTGAGGACGGCTTTCTTATCTCTTCACACTATTCCTTGGAACTCTGCTTTCACATGGGTATACCTTTTCTTTCCTCCTTTGCCTTTTGCTTCTCTTCTTTTCTCAGCTATTTGTAAGGCCTCCTCAGACAACCATTTTGCCTTTTTGCATTTCTTTTTCTTGGGGATGGTCTTGATCCCTGCT